GAGGGATCTTTCTCAAATTTTAAATGTAGGTTCCCCTTGATCCCTCGTTGTGTATGTTATATTTTGAGACTGATCATAAAAACAAAATGGATTAAAAGAAGAACTAAACAGATCTTTCTCATATTGCAATGATCAATTCTATTTCTTTCACATTAAGTACTGTACTAGTAAATATGTGAAATGACAAACTCACTTTGAAGGGTGGCTTTCATACACATCAGTATTAAGTTTAGATCAAAAGTTACCTCAAGGCGCATTTACTGTTAACATGACTCGATCAAACAAATTAGAGGAAAGAAGAGAAAAGATTGAACTAACAAAGAACTAATGAAGATGGTACAAAGGTGGGCGTCAAGATCCCTCTGGGATCGCTTGTTTGGTAATTTTTGATGTGGTAACCATGGTTTTCACACAAGTGACATACATAAGAAAAAAGAGGTTTATACACTTCTCAGTACTTTATATGTATTGTAAATGTAATGCAGTTTACAAATATATATACATGTATACATGTGTTGTGTAGGGTAAATCTGCTGTGTTTACATTTCCTCGACATGTGCCTTGTTTATCAGAGTCGGGCCATTTCTACTGTATTCTGCTACCTAATGGCTCTGAGACGAGACGATATGTGAACTGTGTATGCTTATCAAACATTTTCGTAACACAGCATGCGCAGTGTCAAAATATTATCCAATCTGGTGTAAGGGAAATAACTCTTACGTTGGTAAAGTCGCATTGAGAAATATAATTCAAATATATTCCAAGAACATTTGTGAGATTTTGTATATTCAATGACAGTAAATAAAGTCACTACATATATTAATAATTATTATTAATATTAAAAAATAAATAAAAATAAAAGGAGTACAATGCCTCTTTTCTCCATGCATGTTTTCCCACTACTGTTAATTATCCTTCATTTCACAAGCACAAAATGCACCCAATCACCGATTGCAATTCTGCACGTAAATGCTCCTGTCACATCATTGAAGAATGCTAATTAATGAAAAATACAACAATGCGTCACACTTTAAAGAAGGTGAAAAAAGAGGAGAGGAAGAATGTTTTTAAGGCATCATTTAAGAGGTGTTTGATTTTGGAAATCCCAAAGGCAACATCATCACATGACATGATTTTCAATTAGCAGAATACAGAACACATATCTGACGCATTATAGTAGATATTGATGCTCAACGTGTTACTGAAACAATTAAATTTAAAGCGGTGAGCGGCTTTAATGTCACACTGACAATTCTAGTTTCAATTTATTTCTACATTTATTTATAAAATGGTCTTTTGGTGGTAGGTTCTGACTTTTTGTTCACCTGTATCTAAAAACTTGCAAATTGTTTCAAAATTGAAATTCATGATCAACGTCGGATCATTTCTGGCTACTCTGAACTGAAGACTGGATCTCCCAATTTACCTTTGCTTTGGAGACTTTGTTTACCGTCATCCCAAAATTCTTTTTCTAGTGTATGACTTGTTATTTTGTATCATTTTTTCCTTAACTATACTAGATATGATGCGGATGCAAACCATGAACCTTGTATGAAAAAGGGACATAAGGCACATTGGACTTTTCTAACAGGCAAGTACAGGGAATGATAAGGCTCTGTTCACAAGTATAGAGCATAACACTGGAGAAATCACATTTAAGCAATGAATGTTTTAGGAAATATTGTTATGGTCCTATAACACACATTGCCATTGACGGCAGGGCTTTATGTAAGTTTGTCAGCAATAGAAATGTGTGTTATTGGACCATAACGATATTTGGTAAAATATTCATTGTTCTTTGAACAGCAAATTTAGTCTCGACAACAGTGAAATCGATGACGTCACAATAGAGATTGATGATGTTACAATAGCAAATGTTGTTATAGTATCGCAACAACATTTGCCTTCTCAATGCATTGCAATGGTAGGATGCAGAGCAAATGTAAATATTGATTTAATGATTTCAATTCTTTGCAAGTATAATTTACAGATTACAAATGTGGGATACAATGATTTTCTGTTTCTTTTCTTCCTAGTTTTAGATAATATAGAAAGACTTCTTTTGTTGATTTCAGGAATCTTGTTTGTTATACGTTCATCTGAAGCTGCCAAACTTCCCAATGACTTGGTTGTTGATGAGAATATACCACAACTGTACCATGTCCACAGCAAGACTACCTCAGAAACACTGCAACACATACTACGCATGGCTGACCGCAACAACATCCTGGTGTATGGGCGACAGGGCAAAAGTCGTCACACAGGGCTGTGGTCACTAGCAACACTGCTGACCAGTAATGCTAATCTGCTGGAGGTCAGTCCCCAGAGGGTGGGTGAATCCTTAGAGGACTTCGTACTGCCTGAGGATGGTATTGTTCACACCCTTTGCAATAAGATTGTTATTTTGTATAAGTAAACATTGTGTATTGGCGTTATTTTGTATTTGGCTTGAAATATGGCGTGAATAAAGTACAGCCAGGGACGTGACCAGGCGTACGCAGGGTCTTCCACGTAAACCCCCTCCCAAACCCACCCCCTACTCTGCGCTTCGTATGCTTCCACATACTCCTAGTCCTGGTTACGTCCCTGACAGCTAGGTTTTACCTCCTGTGGGTATTTACTATGTTGACAGATTTCATGGCCCTATGTGGCTGCTGTAGACATTCTGTTTGAAATCAATAGCAGTGTGAGCTACATGATAAACAGAAACTTTGCTCTTCATATAGCTCAAGAATACATAATTGGAAAACCTTTCATTAGTTAGAAAGATTTCCAGAAGTTTCACTTGAGTGGTTTTATTTTTATTTTTCGACCATTGTTTCCGAGTCATGTCAGTTCCTGCTATGGCGTTGTACGACAGCATTTATATGAAGTCATATTAGTTAACGTGTTTTATATCACACACTCCCATTTTGAACAAACTTCATAGATTAAAAGTATTATTTTTTAAAAGTTTTCATTTCTAATAAATTATTTTAAAATTTTGTACACTCTCTTTTTAAAATTTGTTAAAGTTAACATTTTTAACTGTGAAAACAAATTAAATCATTTATGATGCTTTATATTTGCTTAAAATATTTTATAAAAAAACTCTTAACTTCTGAAATCAACTATTATAATAAAAAAAACTTTGTCAGTTTTACAAACCTTTTCTAGTTAATTGAGTGTTCAATCTTTGTAACAATCGGATTGGGGGCAGCCTTGCTGATGTTATCATAAAGTCATTGTGTTTTTAACCCTCAAGAATATTTATTTTCATGAAAGTTGTTAATGTTGATTTGTTAACATAGAATTGAAATTGGTTTATATTTTTGCCTTTATTACTTATAAAGGTAGTTTTACAATTCTACTTGAATATTAAACTGTTATTTCCTGTTCAATATGATATTAACAAATTACCGAAGCAATAATTTCACATTTTTTTGGCGAGAAAAAATGTCCAGTCCTTTTTTCATGCCCATCAGAGAATTTGAGGGGACATATTATGGTATGTCCATAAACTGTCCATTAACTTGACATTTACATGCAATAACTTGCTTTGACTGAAACCTGCTCAGCATGTACAAGTATTTATTTAGCAAACTCTTTGCAGAATTAATAAGTATACTTCACTCTGATTGGGGTTGATTGTAACTTTTTCATTTCATGTAAGGTAAAATAATCATTACAATACTGATAAAATATTCTGTTTAATAATGCTGTTCCAAATACACGGAGCAATTTGAAAGTTCCTCAGTCGATATATTTCATTCAGAATATTTTATCGTAGCGAACATGTCCGAGTCTTGCTACAATTGACTACTAAAGGAAATATTCACGCCCGTTGTAGAACCTCTCTACATGTGGATGTAAAGCTAACACTGTCCATTATCTCTTTAAACTCGGATCGTTTTTCTTTTATAAATCTTCACTCACAAACCCCCATTCGTTTAGATGAAAAGTGAAGTGATGGTTTTCAATTATGAAGTGTTGTAACAGATTTTGCGCACAAGTTGTTGCATATATCTATTACTAATATGAATTTACAAATTTGGTTTAAATATGTTTAATACAGATATCTACTCACAGCGAACTTATTCATTTATTACAATGTCTGATGCTTTGTTGGAGTAATAACACTGGGACACTAAGTAGAATAGTTTATGTAAGAATTACTACTAACGTTGTAGATGTTGTTTGAAAGTTGTTCAATGTCTTTTATGACTACAGTGTATATTTTTATTTTGGTCTTGTATTTAGAATGTACCAGTATCATGTGTTATTGAGTATTAAGAGACTGATTTTTTAGAGGGTTTTTATGTAGCTTGATCAACAAATTTTGGAAAAGTTCCTGAAATTTTAACAGGGGAACAAGAATCATTAACCTTTTGATGAAGTTTGTACCAGTGGTTAGTATTATTCTGTAAGAAATGGCAGTATCACATCTGAAATAAAGTAAAATGTTTGTGAATTGGTGTCAGTATTACTAAACGACAGTTAACAGCGGTAAGAAATAATTGTTAATGGGACGATTCATTGTTAGTCCAGGGTTTCAGAATTTGTTTTCAATGAAGACAGCCTACAGAAATGGCTCACTTTGTAGTGTTTACCTAATACTATATTTTTAATTGAACGTCTTTTAGGTATGCCTACGTAGCCTAATATACATATATCACATTTGTTTTGATGTACAAGACGTTCATCTATATGTATCATTTATAATCTACCTGTATAACTGTGTAGTTAGGATCATGTTGGAAATATATTTATAATCACATATACATTTGTACATTGTATTGTGTATTTGGGTACTTTTGTATTGGGTTTTGACACTGTGTTGTGTATTGTATATTTTGTTTGTAATTTCACGTTTGAGTTTGTTTCGAAACCTGTATCTTTCCTTGTTTTGGAGTTAAAGAGTGTTGTGTTAATTAATTCCAATGAAAAAAAAAGTTATTTGTTTCAGTGAGTTAGCTTTTCCTTCTTATTTCTTGTTCATATTGTCCTAACCATAGTCACTGTATCTACAGTATGTATTTGTATGTAGATGGGATTGGTTGATATATTGTAATGATTTGTTGTTAATGAACTCTGCTTCTGAGTTTTTGTAATTTTGTACTTTACATATATATTAATATCGTTATTAACTTCTACATCCATGTCCATTTACTAATAACTACAGGTTATTATAATCGACGTATAAATTAATGACGAGTCTTTGCATAATCAGTCAGCCTTGTTAAGGTTGATATTATTCTACTTCTTTCCAAGATAAAAATCATAGGATGGCATGTACCAAAATCATATCGAAGGGAGAGTAGCACATCTATGGATGGCATGTACCAACATCGTATCGAAGGGAGAGTAGCACATCTATGCCACATTTAGAAGTCACAAGCAGATTTGTTTCATCAGTGGCCATAGTTATTTGTATTTGGCCACTGTTCTGTCCAACAAAATAAAGTTATGTGGTCAGTTGGAAAGTCTTTTGTCACATGCCATCCTGATAGTGACATGTAACTGCTGATAATAATACATACGGAGTAATGAGGTGTGTGGCTAGTAGTCCCCTAACTGGTGTGAGGTCTGTGAAGAAGGCACATGTCTAGTTAGGTCTAAAGGTAAATTACCGGAAGCAGGTTTCATTACAGTTGGCTTATCTTGCCACGAGAAATGGTCAATATTGATAGTTAAATCAATGATATAGTGTATTAGCACCTACCGGTTAACTAGCCGAGTTTCCTCACGCCCTGACACCAGACTTAAACATTTTGACAGATAGATGACTGGTGTGGGGGTTTAAGATGAAGAGGATCGGGATATGTTATATAACAGTCTAAGATGGAGGTTTTTTTTATGAATAAGGGGGTTAAGTTTAAGAAAGATGGGGTAATTAAAGTTGCACTAGGATTGAGGGTTAAGATTAAGAAAGATGGCGTAATTAAGATACACCAGGGTCTAGGGTTGGGGTTCAGATTAAGAAAGATGGTGTAATTAAGTCACACTAGGGTTGAGGGTGGGGGTTGAAATTAAGAAAGATGGGGTGATTAGGTCACACAAGGGTTGAGGGAGGGGGTTGAAATTAAGAAAGATGGGGGGATAAAGTCACACAAGGGTTGAGGGTGGGGGTTAAGATTAAGAAATATGGGGTGATTAAGTCACTCAAGGGTTGAGGGAAGGGATTCAGAAAGATGGGGTGATTAAGTCACACAAGGGTTGAGGGAGGGGATTCAGAAAGTTTTTGGTAAGTTATACAAGGGTCGAGGAGAGGGTTAAGATTTCAAAGATGTGGTAGGTTTCTCTAGGGTCGAGGGAAAGGGTTAAATTTAGAACAGTATGGGGAAGTTACACAAGGGAAGTGGGAAGGGTTGATATTAAGAATGAGGTTGGGAAATTATACAAGGGTCTAGCTTTGGGAAGTACATGGGGTTAAGATTAAGGAAGGTGTGGTAAGTTGCACTTTGGGTAAGGAGGGAGGTGAAGACAAGTATTTTGAGGAGTTACAGCAGGCAGGGGTTAAAGGTTTAGAAAGGTGAAATATAAATTACACGAGGGGTTATTGAAGGAGATTAAAATGGTTGAGAAAGTTCCACAAAGGTTAGGGAATTGAGTTAGGTTGAAAAGGGTTTTTGTGAGAAACAAAGGTCCAAGACTTCAGGGGGTATAAGGTTACACAGATGGGGATATCATATTGCATTTTTTGGTCAGGGGAGGGATTATATAAGATATTGTTACAAAGGTTGGGGACAAGTGATTGTTATTTGGTGAGGGAGTTGTTAATGCAACTGGACTTAAATGTCCACCATTTGTAGAGATCCGAGGACGAGGTGGGGGTCAGCTTATTTCACTTTTATACAATATAGGCAACATATAATGTGTGGGGTCAGATTGAATTCAAAATCTGAGGTCTTCCTATATCTAAATTTTTCGTATTCTCAGATTTTTTGCTATTTGAAGTGATGTATTTTCATGTTTTTATCATTACCGATGTAAATTTTCTAAAGGAATTTGGATAAACAAAACAGTAATTTACCTTCAGTTTTTAATTTAAAACATGAAATCTATAGTCTTGTATGTAATGTATAACAAATATTTATTCATCTGATTTTGATGACCCCCTTAGTGGTGTTACAAAGTATATTCCTTTTTACCTTTTAGGAAATAGTAAAATATTTGGTGGATGGTACAGATCTTAATGAATCGCCAGCTTTGTGTTCCTAGTTTGTATTTATTATCTTTTTGAAGTTTCTTCACATTTTTTCTCTTCCTAATAATTTAAAGCTTAATTACAGCAGCAGAATTTTTATATTTCATTGCAGCTGAAATGGCAAGTTGAAGTTGTAATTTTACCCAACTAGAAAAACAATATCCTTTTAAAATATTGACTTGAAGATTAAATTCTTCAGAAGTATTGAACTTCCTAAGTTTAAATTACATGTATTGTTTAAATTTGACATGAAGAAATTGGACAACATTTTTGGGATTGTCCTGATAAACATCTTAATTATTATCTATGTAGTTTTCATGGAATGTTCTATGCAATAAAACAATATTTTTGGAATCCGAGACTGAAGTCATGTCTTTCATTATACAGTTAGGGGATAACCGGTTACCGTACTATGTTTTGATATTGTTGCGAATTGAGTTTTACTGGCGACGCAGAGTGGAGCATATAAAACAGATACTTGTCAGTATAATTATATAATATTGCCGCAAATCTTTAAACAATAGGGTTATTTTCATTTTAATTTGTAGAAAGAGTCCCAGGTGGTTGGTGTCAAAACCCACTTAGGTATTTAAGTAATCCAAATCATCAAGTTAGAAATGTATCATTATAGGTAGTGGGTCACAATTGGAAGCTTATCTGTGTAGATGTTTTTGCGCCCACCAGTTGTATATATGGTTATGGGGCGGAAATCTCTGGTTTCAAAAGTATGAACCAGGGACTTCAGTCTCCAGAGGTTGGGCCAGACTACAGAGCCAATCCTGGTACCAAAGTGCATTTCTCTCTTAATACTCAGAAATTGTATACATAGGGATTTCATCACTCTCCATGTCATAACCCAAGGGCTTGGTCCTAGTTTTAGGTGGAGCAGATTTGAGGCCATTCTGGAAGCATATCTGTTTGTGTCTCTTCATGTCACAGCAACTGTTTATAAAGTTAAAGGGTGGGAAACTCCAATGTTTCCATATTTTGACCGAAGTCTGTTAGGGTTGTGCTAAGCCCTAGGGTCAATTCCGATAGCATGACCTTTTTTGTCTCTTCATACAAGCAGTTCAATATGGTAGAAACTTGGTCATTATAAAGGTATGACATCGGGCCCAAGTTTCTAGGGGTGGGGCTAGACCCTTGTGCCAAAATTGGTAAAATATGTGCATTCCTAACTTAATAGTAAGCTATTGCATCAATGGTGAAATGCCGTCAACCAAACTATGGTTCATACCCATCTCATAGTTCGAGAGAAGTCGGAAGCAATTTGGCTAAAATACAATTTTTGGCTTAGCAACTCCTCTCCTTCCAAGGCAGACCCCAACCTAAGAATACTTCTGATCAATTAAGTTTTAAATGTGGAACATTTGTTACAATGGGAAAGTAATTTTGCCTAAATACCATGATAATGAGAAATTTCCAGAGTGTATATCATGGTTATACATATTTTGGTTGACAAATCAAACGCCATGTTGCATCTCAAGGGAACTGGAAAATGTTACATATTATCCAAAGGAGAATTCCACACCCATTTGCCATGTAAACACTGCTCTCAAGTTTGGTCATCATTAGTCCAGGGTAAAGGTTTGGGCCAGGTAGGCTAAAAATACATACCTAGTTACTAGCAATCACATTTCATCAAGTCATCTTCAGAAATAACCATGAAAATGACAAGATGCTAATGAAGGGCTAAGTGACTGTAAAATACCCCCCTGAGCTATGTTGGAGGCACAAACAAGGCCGAGAGTTTCAAAGGTAGGAGCTAAACCACCATGAAATCAAATGGTAGGGGCTGACAAATAAATCAGCTGAACTTAAAGAAAAAAAACAATTGACTTCCTGGAAACATTTTATTTTTTGGTTGGAAAAAAATAATTAAAATTGGTCACATTTAATAGACTGACAATGGTACAATGTTTAGGCAACAATGTAACTATAGCAAAACACTTTCTTCTCAACAGTTTCAAATTCATATTTGATAAAGGAATGTTTAAAACTTCTTTCCTTTAAATACAAACTCAAACTCACTCTCTAAAGTATTTCTAAAACATTATAATAAAAAGTATCTGTTTACATTTTAAGTACAAAACATAAAAGTTGATTTCAGAAACCAATATTGAATGTATTTCTATTGCCAACATTCACCGTGTACAGTCGCAAAAGATGGAGTTAGATGTTGGGGTTTTGGCATCAAAGTGCAGATATTGGCAAGGTAAGCATAGGGTACCTACTTTTATATTTTGCCAGACATATCTCTGGTACCCTAAATGTTTTGCACAGATTGTAGGAATGTTTAAGTGACAACATAATCTGCTTTGCTAATGGAGGTCTCGTCAGCTGTTACATACACTAGTTTAAAGAAACAACCCTTTCTTACTCCTGTTAAAAATCAACATCAAAGCTTGCCCAATATTTCTTGGAAGAGATGTACCAATAGCTTTCTATTATGGTCCTACACCACACTTCCTATAGGTTTGGCTGTAATGACTTCAGTCTACTTGTTGCAGCAGCAGACATTCCCGAAGCACATCAATGAAACCCCAATACCCTCAGCAAATTGGATTGTTTTACTTAAATATATTCTTCCAACTTGTGCACAAAATTTTGGGTAGCAATGATATATCTAGAAGAAAAAATAAAAGTATTTTACTAACCTTGTTGATTTCCATCCTGCTTCATGTGCCAATAACCCTAATCTCTCAAAACCAAACCCCCACTTGTGAGGCTATACAGGTGGTATTGTTGATATAGAAGAGTATGATCTAAAATCTTTGTGTTACTAAAATATTGTTTCATTATTAACAACAACAGCACATCTGCAACTGTGATGTAGCAACTGACTGAAACTTTAAAGAAATGTTTCTACAAATAGTATGTACATTTGTATTTTTCAGGGTATTTAAATTTAACCTAAACACTTCCAAATTTTACTTGTTACTCTTAATTCACATGAAGACTGGACAATTTAAACTGGAAATGCCTCACTTTTATATTCATTTTACACCATAGGCCTTAAAATGGGATATAATTTCACTTATAATGGACACAATATACCATATCATACTGAACTTATTTATAGCAATGTTTGTATTGGATGAAAAGTAAGCTGGTGTGAATGATGCCTACGCCGTTAAGTATAGTAAACATCTGATGGAGCACACATATAGACATTCCTACGCCGTTAAGTATAGTAAACACCGATAGAGCACACATATAGACATTCACAGGAAAACCCCATATATATAAATTACAATTTTAGATAAAACAATGACTTCAACCTGAAACTGACTGTTTATTGTAAACCCTATTGCTGAATAGAGAACACAATTCTGCTATAAACAGGCTATTAGGCTAAATCTGCACAGTTGGCAAGCTTGTTCCTCTACTGAATGGTTTCCTTCCTGTATCTTATAAAAGTGGTGTGACAGTTTGCTATATCATCATTCTAATGTCAAGCTTTCTGTAGGCTAACTATCCGACACTGATGTTAGACGTTTAATATACTTACCTGTTCTTGGTTCAACCTAAAAAGGAATCTTGTACAACAAGCCTGTGATTTTTGTATAGGGGGATACATTGTATATGGTTCCCATTGTCAATCTCCCGCGCCAATCTCCGTGTGAGAAGTTTTAAAGCAACAGTTACAATTGTTGTGAAAGGGGTATCAGCCAAATCAGTTTTAAGGTTGTTTTAACCAATCCTGTTGATGACCGGACACAATGGCAGATAGGAGACATGGATTAGTTTAAATACAATATAAATACATATGTGGTTGGCTATTGGATATCAACAAATTTGCACATTTAAAAATTCAAACTTAATAAATTTTATCTTGATAAAAATATTTTCAAATTTAGTTGAAATTTAATAAGTTGTCTCTAACAAAAAATATTTCTAACTTTCAGTACATCTTTATAAAATATAGCATTCTGACAAAATAAAATCTTATCTAAATCCAATGAAATCATGATCAAAATAAAATTATTTTTTAATTTAAACTACTACTCAATTTATAAAAATGAAATCCAGGATTATCCCCATTCAAAACTGAAACTTAAAATCAATCAGTCATCACTTTTGAAAGAGATAATATGTGACATCTAACGTGGACAATACCGTGGATTATCATACGCAAGTCAATTGAATTCTTCTATTAATGACTTTTTCTATATACATGATAAAGATATCGATAATGTGTATTGTCTACTATTATGAAACCAGGTAGACCTACTCCCCTCCTATCTTCATCCCAATCACTTCTCCATGTGAACAACATCCTTCAAATACATGTACATCCGCACAGATGAGACCTACATGGTACATCATTGCGTAATAACCTCCCTCTGCCCCTGTTTTTGAGGAATAATTTTGGCAGTTACACGTCTCCCTCCCCCTCAATTTTTGTCACAACAAAGACACTACCCCATCTTTAAATTAGTTTACAGTGCCATATATCAGACTATATATATAAGCCTTCCCTTCACCAACAGAGATTTCATTCATCTACAGCATCATGTACCTCCCCTTCCTCTCCCTCCTCCTCATCTTCAGCCATCATAGCTTGTGTTTGTTTTGCACTCTTGGTCAATTGAACCTGCGTTTCGTCTGTGTCCATCCTTTCAGATTTCGCGTCTGTCTGCTCTACTGTCCGCGTATCCTTAACATCCTCATTATTATTACTGTTATTATTGGTAGAGTCGGTTCGGAGTTCACCTTCCTCCTCCTCTTCCTCCTCATCATTGTAACTTATTTCCACCCTGGGTTCTGTGCGATCCTTTGCCTTGTCATCCCTCCTTGGTGCCCCTGCCTTGTCCCTCCTGCCCCCCAACCTATCCCCCTCCTCCTTACTTCTCCTCCTGTGCTTACCTGCCCTACTGTGTCTGTCTTCCTCTGCTACACTATCAGACTTTCTGCGTTTTCTAGGTGTCTCCCCATCCCTACCCCCTCTATGTGGGCCCCTCTGCTCTAACTGCCTACGTAAGTCTACCCTCTCCCCACTAGATTTCCTACGTCTGTTTTCCTTATCTGTGTTTCTGTCCCCCTCCATGACCCCTTCATCCTCCTCCTCCTCGTCTCCCTCCACATCAACCTTTCCTCCCGGCTGGTCCTTGGCCATCAGGTCTTCGATCTCAATCTGCAGTTTCCTTCTTCGATCTTCAATCATGTCTGTAAACAAAATATATAAAAGTCTAAACATCAAACAGAAAAAACTTTAATACCAAAGAGGATATTTTTTTGTTCAGAATAAACTGTAAGAAACTTAACTGGTGAGGACGGTCTCTTATCTATTGGAAGCAGAGTAACTTTTTAAATAACACCATTTTATATATTTGAACCCTGTGACCTTGAAAGTATGTCAAGGTTATTTATAAGTAGAAATGTTATAGCTCTCCATCCAATTTATTGTTTTTCTTGTACATGTAGCTACTGATCAAAGATCTTGACCCTACCACCACTGTATCCAAATCGGGACGGAACCCAAAACGGGACACTTATGGGAAAATGGCCAAAGAAACTGTCATTCAATGCAAAGTTTGACTCTAAACATTTGAAATATATCTCCTTTTCTGCTGGTATTGATCGATTATCCCCAAATATTTGCCAAAAATATCTAAGTGTCCCTTTCAGTGTACAGTTACGCAGGTTCAAGGGCCTACGTAACCCTGATGGGTTTTATTGTGTTTTATTTATAGAACCATGTGTCAGAAATATCAGCTTGTAATAGAAATGAAAAGTGGATAGTATTTATTCATGAAAAATGAATAAACATTTTTGGAACTGATAGTATGCTATAAAGAACATTGATATTTATTTAAAAAGTGTCCCGATTTAGGTAAAGTGACGTTAGGCTTAACAAGAGGGATCTTAGCATCCACCAATATAAGACCTTAACTAGCTCCATATAAGTTTGATCTTGTCTTTATTTTTCTCTTCTCTCATTTATTAAATATCTATTTATAATTATAAGTCATGGTAACAGTAAATACACAGTAAAGTAGTTTGTTCTTGTCTCTTGTTGTTTTATCAATCCATTGATAAACATTTCCTGAAAACTTTTTTTGAGTAACTGGATCCTGAAATTAAGAGTACAATAATCAAAACCTTCTTCTAGAAACATACCATCCACGTATTTAGCAGTCTCCTTCCTTTTTCCCTCTAATACAGCATCCATGGTTTTTGGAAAGTAAAATATGTGTGGTTTGGCTCTGGTGTAAATAAAATTTTCTAATTTGCGTGTCTCCTTTTCCCAGGCATCATGCTGTTAAAAAAAAGAAGACATTTCAAATCAATAATTTCTACTTGCCCCATATAATGCATATTTTACATACAAAAAGACAGACTTCTTGTTATATAATATGAGTTTACAATAAATATTTTAAGGGTTGTTTTTTCTCAGTAACTGTAATATTATAATGAAGATTATTTTTAAAATATACTGATCTCATGGAATGGATCTTATTGCTGCAGGCACCCCTAAAGGAGGTGTGTTTAATTTACAATGCTCATAATGCTGAGTCTCCCATCACCCATTTACCACAAAATTTATCCAAATTTGATTGCTAGAAATGTTTTAAAAAATTGATACCTAATTAAATCCTTGGAATATAAAGAACTTACTATTTCAATAAGTTCCATTTTGTATTCAAGACGACGAATTTTGGCCTGTTGTTGTTTTCGCTCTAGGAAAAGCTGATGGCGTTCTCTAAGAAGATCCTCTTTCTCTGAAATGGCTTTTTCTTCTAATTTCTGCTCAATCTGTTTTCTCTGAACTTCCTGAAAATAAGCAAGAACCACAACTTTCCAATGAACTGGTACACTAACAAGAATAAATGCAATGTCAAGAAAGAACATTAAAAAGAAATTGTGACACTTACTGAAATTATAAAATCTGGAATGAAAACATCTGGTTTTTCAAATAGCACTTGCATTATTTTTTTTATCAAGGGGGTGCTCTGATCAGAACAGGTGCCAGTATTGTCAAATAGGTTATGAAATTTGAAGACATGGGGACCTCTAGTTTTGAGGTTACGGAGCTGAATAGAATGTCAAATAAAGATGTACAGAAGAAATATATAAACAGTACTTAACACCAAATGCTGGTGCATAAAAGTCCTTTTAAATTCTCCTCAATTCTGAGATACGAATTCAATTTCCATAAGTCTATCACATTCAACAAACCTTATCCTCCGTTTCCTTAGCTTCATCTTTGAACTTTCTCAGTGTTCCCAAAAGTAAGCCAAACATTCTTCTATTTCTGAAAATACAATCATAACAGAGATTAAAATACTTAACATCCCATGTATGACTTTTGAACTGAACTGAAGTGTTTAATTTGGGTACAATCTCACCGTCAGTATTTATAGCACATCAGTTGTAGAGAAGATTTTTTTGTAACTCTACCTACCTGGCAGTGCCCTTTCTGTCTGAATTCTGTTCCTCTATGCTGGACTGACGTGTCCTGGACTCTTTAGGGGTAGCTACAACGGAGGACTGGATAGTGGGCTGAAAAACAGACAATACAATCTAAAATAGCATGTTTTTTATGCCAAAACACAGGTGTTAATTTTGAAAGATGAACAGAATGAATTCATTGCTTACAGGGGTTTATTTAAATTTAAAGACAACAGTATGCAGTAAATAACTTTCAAATAAGAAACTTGACTTCATTCATTATTTACCAGTTTTAAGTGTGGGTATTTTTTGACATCTGACCTGGGTAATTTCTATGTAAGGTTGGTCATTTTTGTTTCCACTGGCCTACGCCCTAGCTGGACAACGTATTGATCTCATGTAGCTACCTAGAAGATAATCTTCTGTATCTTACCTGTTGGTGGAATCCCTGGAATGAAGTGTATATATACCTTATCAATTGAGCCTTGACCAGAGTACCTACATAGTAGAGTACGTTGTGCTAATCCCTATGATCCCATCCTCTTAGCAGATAGTACTTTTAAAATCCTTACTATCTCATCACTTTGTGGATGTCATTAACCTAACACAATGAACCTACCTTGTTGGGTAGATCATCATCGTCCCCATTATCCTGTCCTCTTGGTGGACGGCCTCTGCCCATCATCCGATGCATGGGACCAAGCCTGTTGGATATAGACAACATTTCAAAAGTGTACTCACACGAAAACCAAAGAGTGCCCCAGATGGGTGGAAAGACAGAGAAACACAAACATTGTTATCAAGTTTGAAGGAATTTCGCTAATATTTGCTAGAGTTATTAAGCGGAAAATGCAGATAATGACATTTTTTCGTTAATCAAGGGGCCAAAATGGAGTGCGATTTAAGTGGTTGTCAAACTTGACCGAGCCTTTAATGCATTGAACCCTTCAAGGGGCCATAACTCCGCCAAATGAGTCTGCTGAAAGTTGTCATCGAACTTGGCCAAGCCCTTAAGGCATTTAACCATGTGACCAAGTTTTAAGAAAATCGGTTAACATTTGTTGTAGCTATTGCACAGAAACGAAAAGCAGCAGATAATGACGTTTTTCGTTATTCAAGGGGCCATAACTCCGTCAAATGGGGTTTGCTGTAAGTGGTCATCAAACTTAGTGGAGCCCTCAAGGCATTTAACCCTGTGATTAAGTTTGAAGAAAATCGGTTAATATTTGTTGTAGTTATTGCACGGAAACGAAGCATGACAGACAGACAAACCCAAAATAATATCCCCCGTTTCGGTGAAAGCGAGGGATAATAATAAGATGGCTCATTGGACCAGTTGATTGTCAAATGTTCCTCACAAGTTATGTCAGGAGGGTTACTTTCTGTGTTTCAAACATTTGAAAAGAAGAAATTTGTCTGTAAGACATCAATCCCCTACTCACACACTTGATAAATAGAGCAAAGTTCACACAGGTCAAGTTACAAAAATATCATGCAACATATAGAGCAAGACACACACACCTTTAAAGTTGCTTAATCTTATCTGCAATAATGAGGCTTAAAACTTATCAAAATGCAAAAAACTGAATAAGTCAGAGCTCAAGGTTACAAAAGTATCCTACAGTCTGCTGTTCTCATAGTGGCACATAAGCATGTGAAATTGCCTAGTTCTGTAGCCAGTAACTTTATATATAACTGACCCAACACAAAAACTTCACCAAGGTCACAGAAGGCAAGGTGAAATGTTCAGGTCACAAAAATTATGTGCAATTTGCTGTACTTATAACAGCATATTAACTTTTGAAGTAACATGACCCTAGCTAAAGTACTTGGTCCATAACTGACCTGAACACAAGAACTTCAGACATACATAAAAACAAGGTTATCAATATAGTGTATGTTCCATAAGATGACACCACTTTGTTGTGGGGTAAAATATGTAATGTAAACAACTTTACACGTTGTGTTGGTCATCGTAATTTGAATACATGGATATGTAAATGTCCCAGACACAGTGCCAAATAAACACAGAACAGTTTATAGTAACCAGTGATTACATTAACTCCTGCTAACACACAACAAGAGGCCCATGGGCCTTAACGGTCACCTGATATATTTATACAGAGAGTTGATTTTGTTTTTAACATGAACAGAAATATTATTCAAAGTGACAAAAAACAATAAAACCACCTTACTCAATATCTAGCATACAGATTTCAGACTAAAAAGGATTTGAAACTAGCACCTCTGATTCTTAACAAGGAAAATGAAGAAATTTTAGCACACTGACTCCTTTGAGCCCCACCCTACAGCCCTTGGGGGTAGGGCTGGCTCAAAATTTTCAAAGTATCAAACTGTCAATTCAAGGTTATAATTCCAATCAAGTTATTAACATGTA